TTTTTTTTTTTTTGGTACCGGGGATTGAACTCAGGTCCTTGCGCTTGCGCAGCAGGCGGCAAAACTACTGAACTAAATCCCCAGCCCCTGGAAGTTTCTTAATTTCCCTTTACTTCTCCTTGTTTCATGTTCTCCAAGGACAGAGATGGTTTAAACCTAGAAGTCAGAGTAAGTATCTGTGAGTGACTGGTTCCAGGATTCTCTGGACACACAACTCTATGGATACTCAAGTTCCTCATAAAACAGCACAGGGTTTGCATATAACCTATAATACATGTCCTCATGTAAATCTTATAGATTACTTGTAACAACTAGTGCAATGTACTTATCATGGCTAAACTGTGATGTTTAAAAAATAATGACCAAAAATATTCTTTATATATTTAGTACAGTCACCATGTTTTTCTGAATATTTTTGAGCTGCAGTTGGCTGAATTGTAGATGCTGAACCCATGGATAAGGAGGGGTAACTATGTTTAACATGTTCCTGCTGGCTTGAACCGCAGGAGGTACATGCAATACTGTCTCATCAGGCAGCTTGCGCCACTCAATGGGACTGTCCCGTGGCACCTGATGGGACAGTCTTGGACATACCACTGGTGGTTCAAAGCCACCTAGCAGCGAGGCATGCAAGCTATGGCCCCGTTGTGAACGTGTTAACCATTTTGTTGATTATTTCAAATTGAAATAATAAGTTATTAGTTAGAAATGGACCAAAGAATAGATGCTAGTAAATACAGTTCTGGTTTTAAATAGGCACCAGAGAAACATCACAGATTTGAATTCGTAACTGCAAGCTATGCAGCAGGTAAGAAGTCTGTGCTGATTTTTAGTGATATTGCTGACTTTCCATTCAAAATATACTTCTATGTGTTGGATTAAAATGGAATAATTTAAAGTAAAGGTGGGCAAACTTTCTGAAAAAGACCAGATAGTAAATGTTTTACATCGGTGAGCCATACCGTCTCTGTGGCAACAGATCGACTCTGCCTTTGTAGCTCGAAAGCTGCCTTAGATGACATGGAAATGAGTGTTGCACTGTGTTCCACTAAAACTTTATTACAAGAACAGACACTGGGCTGCAGCTTGCCAACCTCTGATTCAGAGCAGTAGTTCTCAAACTACACTGGTCATCAGAAGGACTAGGATGCCATGTTAACATACAAAGTGCTGAGTCCTTCTCAAGAGTTCCTGCTTGAGTAGGTCATAGGTGGGACTGGGATTTGGATTTCTATCCAGTCCCTGTGTGGTGCGATACTCTGGACTTTACCCACACTCTAAGAAACACTGACCTAGAGTTTTTAATCAAAATATGACCTAAATATTCTTCCAATTCTGGAGTCCATGGTCCAGTGTTTATCTTTAATGCAGCAAATCTGATACTTAAATTTCTTAAAAGGATATTCAAATGTCTTAGATCTTTGATAACTTTAATACTTAACCAAGAGTATTATGTTTTAGGCTAAACTTCTAACACCAGTATGGAAAGACAGCTCCAGACAGAACAATGCCACACCTTCAGAAATGTCTGGAAGAAAACTCCAGGGTAGTTCTGGCTTTTTAAGTCTTAAAGATTCTGCGCAGAAAACTGGTAAATGATTTTCTGTTGTTTTACATAAAAAGAAATTTTAAAAGAAATTTAGGGTAAGTATTTTGAAGGAAACTAATTTTTAAAATACCTAGGAGAAAACTGTGAAGATAAAATTTTTCTCTTTAATGTCTCCAGTTAAGCTTTGACATACCAAAATTTGTGGGATAGAGAAAACAGTACTGAGAAGGAAATTTATATCAATGAATATCAAAGAAATAGAAAAAAAATTCAAGTAAACAACCAAACAATGCATCTAACAACTTGGGAAAGCAAGAACAAGCCAAACCCCAAAATACCAAAAGGAAAGAATTAATGATCAGAGACGAGACAGGAGAAAAAGTGATCAACAAAGAGTTGGCTGTTTGAAAAGATAAAACTGAAAAACCTTTAGTTTGACTAACCAAGAAAATTGAGAAGACCCAAATATGTAAAATTAGAAGTGAAAAGGAAGACACAACTGATACAACAGAAATACAAAGGATCATTAGGAATTATGAAAAACTCAATCACCAAATTGAAAAACCTGGAAGGAACAGACAAATTTCAAGATACATATGACCTACGAATGTTAACCCATGAGGACATAAAAATATGAATGAACCAAGAATAAATGAGATTGACTAATACAATTCTGATAGAAGCCCAGGACTCGATGGTTCCATTGCTAAATTTTACCAAAGTTTTAAAAAAAGACCAATACTTCTCAAACTGTTTCATAGGATAAAAGGGGAAAAAATGCTTCCAAACTCATCCTATGAGGTCAACATTGTCTTATTATCAAAGCCTTTCAAGAGCACAACAAAAGAGAGCTATAGACCAGTATCCCTATGAAAATAGATGGAAAAATTATCAATGAAATTTTAGCAAATCCTGCTTGTCTACCATGCATGATGCCCTAGATTCAATCTCTGGTAGCCCCCCAAGAAGCAAATAAAACAATATCAAACAAAATCTAGCAAATTGAATTCAGTAGCATATCAAAAAAGATAATTCGTCATGATTGTGTTGCTAGTCAGTATATATGTTCTCCCTCCCACCTGCCATGCCCCTTCACAATACTCCCCTACCTTGGAACCAGCTCATCATGGAATGAAGCCTCTATAAACTGTGAGCTAAAATAAACTTTTCCTCCTTTAACTTGTGTGTGTCAAGTATTTTGTCCCAGCAATGAGAAAAGTAAGTAAGACCCCCAACAAATACACAGAAAAATGCTCAATTTCATTAACCATCAAGGAAATGCAAATCAAAACCATGATGAGATACCATCTCACCTCAGTTAAGATGGCTGTTAGCTAAATGGACACCAATGCTGGCAAAACTGTGGAGGCAAAGGAATTTGAATACACTGTTGGTGGGATTGTAAATCAGGACAGCTATTGTGAGGAACAGTACAGAGATTCTTTAGAAAGTTAAAAATAGATCTACCATATGATCCAGCTTCCCACTTCGTGATAAGTTTCCAAAGATAATAAAATGAGCATACCAAAGAGATGCCTGCATGTCCATGTTTATTGTGGCACTGTTCATAATATCCACTGTGTTCTGAATGTCAGCAATGAATTATTCCTGAAAAAGGAAATGATCCCACTTGTAATAATATAAAGAAGAGGAATATATTTAATCAAAGAGCCAAAAGGCCTGTGTACTCAAAATTTGTAAGACATTGAGAAAATTGAACACAAAGGTAAACGAAAAGCTATTCCATGTTCATGGATTGGAAGAATTAATATTGCCAAAATGTCCATACTGTTCCACACCATTCACAGATTTCATGCAGTCTTTATAAAAATTTCAATGACTTTTTCATCAAGAACAATCCTGAAATTTATATGAAACCACAAAAGACCCTAAATACCCAAAGCACTCTTGAGAAAGAAGAATGCAGCTGGGCACATCATACTCTGATTTCAAACTGTATTACAAAACAAAAATTGGCATAAACGGGGGCACAGACTGATGAAGCAAAACAGTTCAGTAATAAAGCCAACTAATCCTTGAGAAAGCTGCTGAGAATATATAGAAAATCTCTTCAATAAGTGGTGGCGGGAAAACTGGATATAAAATAATTCAGTTGCACCCTTACACCAGGTAAAAATTAACTCAAATGGATTAAGGACATAAATATAATATTGGAAACTAATCTTATGAAGGAAAACAACTGTTTTTTGTTTTTTGAGAAAAGGTCTCACAATGTTGTACAGGCTGGTCTTGAACTTGCAGTCCTCCTGCCTCATACTCCCATGTAGCTGGGTTACAGGTATGCACCATTGGCCCTAGCTGAAACAGCTCCTTGCTATAGGTCATGGCAATGTTTTTGGTGATATGTCAAAAAACAAGCAGCAAAAATAAGTGGGATTGTGACAAGCCAAAAAGCTCTGGCAGCAGACGAAACATCCAACAATCTATAGAACTGAGAAATATTTGCAAACCACATATCTGATAAGGTGTTAATATTCAAAGTATACTGTATAAGGAACTCAGATGACTCAATAGCAAAAAACCAAATAACCCAATTAAAAATGAGCAAAGTAACTGAATAGACATTTTTCCAAAGAAGACAAATGTCCAATTATATGAGATTACTAGTCATCAGGGAAATGCAAATCAAAACCATGATGAGCTATCATTTCCTGATAGGATGACTGTTATAAAAAAGTAACCTATGGAGAAGTGGAAATGCTTATACACTGTTGGCGGGAATGTAAATTGGTGCTTCCACTGTAGAGCACTGTGTGGATGCTCCCTCACTAATTAAAAATGATCCAACAGGGCCAGGGATTTAGTTCAGTGGTGCTGCTGCCTGCCTCACAAGCACAAGGTCAGAGTTTGATCCCCGGTACCAAAAAAAATCCAACAATCCCCCTTTGGGTTATGCATCCAATAACTAAAGAGCTATCTGTATCCTGTATTCATGGAAGTGTGATTCTCAGTAGCCAAGATATGGAAACAGGCTAAATGTCCGTCAGGGGATGAATGTATGAAGAAAATAAGACATGTTACAATAATGAAATATTAGTACCTTCTGTATTCCATAACAAGGAAATTCCATTTGTGACAAAATGGATGAACTTAGAGGATTTTATCCTAAGTGAAATGAACCAGACACTGAAAGACAAATATAGTACTCTACGACCTCCTTTATAAATGGAGTCTGAAATAAACTAATCGAAGCAGAAAGTAAAATAATGGGAAGAGAGAAGAGAATCACAGAGTTGAGGCAGTAGAAATCTTGCTCTTGTATTTGGGGCCAGATGGGCATCTATTAAGGTTGCTGGTGTAGTTGAAGTAATTGACTTGTCTATAGACCCACACACCTAATAGTTATGCATAACCTGAAAGATGAAGAGCTTTTTGTTTCATTTAAGCCTGTGTCCCATCTTTTTATGATAATATTTAAAATAGAGAGCAATAGTGAAACATTTATTTACTTTTGTTTTTTCAGGTGCTTATTCACTTGAAATTGTTTTCTCTCATACTCAGAACTTCAAAGTCCACACCCACTGAGCGATCTACCTGCCTTAGAGGACTCAGAAGTTGAAGAAAACGTGTCTCAGGTATTTAATTGTTGCTTGGTTGGTTTTCTAAAATTAAAATTATATTTGCATAACATAATGGTGTATTCTTTTTTAAGGGATGCTATAGCACTGCTTCCTTCTTAGCCATATATATATATATGTATGTTCATTCCATGTATGTTCTATATTTTCTGTATATATCCTGTTTGTGTTTTAGATTATAAACCAAGAGTCATTAATGGAAAATACAGGCTTCAAACATAAGCTGGCAAACTTGGAAGACAAAGGTGAGAGAATAATAAACATTTTGCAGAATAGATTAAAACTAATTTGGGCCATTATTCAGGTTGCAGCAGATAAAAATCCTCTTAGAGAGGGACTACTGCTGGAGTCAGCCATGGGAGCAACTTACTAGTTCCAAATGTTCACCAAGGCCAAGGCGACAAACTAGGACTCCACTCAGAACCAGAATCCCTCTCACAGAGAGAGGGGTGGCCGGGGACTGGATCCCTCCACCCGGCCAGGCCTCCTCCGCAGTCTCTGAGAGGAGACATGAGAGTGTTTCCTCAAGGATCTGGTCTGCGGACTTGTTCTAGTCCCAGGTAAGCAGGATGCTTCTCAATTTGTAAGAAGTATTCTAAGAGATGTGACCAAGTTATTAGAAGTTCAGAATTCATTTCCTCATGGTAACAGCAGTACAGAGATTTCCAGGTTAGTTCACAATGTTGCATTCGGGAAACAACATATAATATGTGGATATTCATGAATATGTATGTGATATATTTATTTAACACCTAATTATTTATGATCTTTTTCAACTGCATATTTTCTTTACATTTTAAGTTAAATATCCAAAAGTTTCAAATCATTTAAAGTACAAGTAGGATCCTTAGAATATCAACACAACAAATTACTGTTTTAAAATCTCAAGATGCCCCACCTGAAACCCATTTTTACCCTTTTCCTTTATCAGTGGACAGTAGCCTTCATTTTGTGCTTGATTCCACTGGCTCTACTTTTTGCATTGTGAAAAACATGACAGTTGCAAAAAATTGTAAAATGTGTGCAGGCGAATGGATGATTAGGAAGCGAGCATCTGAACAGCTAGACTGCGAACTGGAAAACTGGCTTAGAATCCTTCCATGCTGGCTCATTCCTGTTCATTTCCTCCATTCCTCATGGAATCGGCTACTCTTCTGACTTTTGTGAAAATCCTTCTGCTAGCTGGGTGTGGTCGTGCATGCTATAATCCCAGCACTCTGGAAGGCTGAGGCAAGAAGTTCTCAAGTTTGAGCCCAGCCTGAGCAACTTAGCAAGACCCTGTCTCAAAACTAAAAACAAAGAGGGAGGGCTGGGATAAAGCAGAGTGGAGACCCTGGGTTTAATCCCCAGGACTGCAAGAAATAAACACAAAACCTCAACAAAAACCCACTACTTTTCTTCATTGTTTTACTTTCTTTGTATGTATTCTTAAGAGATACATAGCTTAGTTTTATCTGATTCAAAGTGTAAACAAATGACATCATACTGTGTATATCTTGTGCAGCCTACTTTGGCTCAATCATCCTTTAATGATGATGTATGTATGAGAAGTATATTATTCTTCACCAAAATTTAGCTTAAAGATATACAAATATACCATAATTTATCCATTCCAGTGTTGTAGGATATTTGGATTTTTGAAGTATTTTTATAAATAATGGCACTATGAAGAATCATGTCTATTTCTCCAGATATATATGAAACATTTTTATCTAGTGACATTAAAAAAATTTTTTTTGGTACCGGGGATCAAACTTGGGACCTTGCGCCTGCAAGGCAGGTGCTAGAACCACTGAGCTAAATCCCCAGCCCTCTTAGTTACATTTTTTATTAGAATTTCTGGGTTGTAGAGTGTGTGTGTGTGTGTGTGTGTGTGTTGTGTTTAATAGTTTGAAGTGTGTCAAAATTTTTTTAATATGGTTGTATCGATTTCCTTTCTACCAGCTGTGTATGAGACTTCTGTTGTTTTACCTCCTTAACAACTCTCAGTATTTAAAACTGTGTACATTGAAGCTCTAATTCAAATATCCCTGATGAAGGTTTAACATCATTTTAAACATTAGCCAAATTTTGTGGTTATATAGTGTCCAAAATTTCTTGCTCAACTGTCTACAGAATTGTCATTTTTTATCTGTCCCTGGGAGTTCTTCATTTCCCAGTTGTAGGCACTCCTTCGTTAACTGTGTTGTAAGATTTTTCTGTGGTTTGTACGTCTGTTTCTTGATAGTGTATTTGTGATCTCTTTTTTTTTTTGCTAGCCAAAAGTTTTTAGCTTTACTGAATTCTAATTCATAAATCTTTTCTTTATGGTTAGTTGTATGAAATTCCTTCCTACCAAAAATTCAGATAATATATTTTTTCCTATATTAATGCACTTAATGCTGTAACATTTCTCTCTAGGTACTGCCTTAGGTGACTCTCACATTGTAATATATAATGGTTTAGTTTTAAATGCCATATTAAAATTTGTTTTTTTCATTGATCCAAAGCCTACTTAAAAGTGTAGTTCTTAATTTCCAAAAGTATAGGGATTTCCTAACTGTTTTTGTTATTTTTTAGTTTGAGTGCATTATGGCTTGAGAACATGGTCTGCATGCTTATTTCCTTTGAAAGTTTGAGATGTATTTAGAGCATAGTACAGTATATGCCAGTTGAACATAAGTTGTGGTTAAATATTTTGCAATCATTAGGTACAGTATCTATACTCTAGATATAATAGTGTATATATATTTACTGGGTAACATTTCTTAGCCATATTCTTCAAATCTTATACTCTAATTTTTGTTAGTCATCTTCTATAAATTGCTAAAGAAGTCTGTTAAAGCCTTTCATTATGATTGTGATTCTGTTAGCTCCTTTCTGGCTCTGTTCAATTTTCACCATGTATAAATAACAATATATTATTAGGTAAATGTAAGTTACCTTATATTTATCTTATGTTATATTAAAGCTTTTATCATAACACAGTAACTTTATCTCCAGTAATGTTTTTGTTTTGAAGTGTTTTATTTCTTTTGTTCAAATTTTCTTTCTTTCTTTCTTTCCTTTCTTTCTTTCTTTCCTTTTTTTCATTTCTTTCCTTCCTTCCTTTCCTTTCCTTTCCTTTCCTTTCCTTTCCTTTCCTTTCCTTTCCTTTCCTTTCCTTTCCTTTCTTTTCTTTTCTTTTCCTTCTACCAGAGATCTAACTCAGAACCTTGTTTTTGCCAGGCAGTTGCAGCACCACTGAGCTAAATCCCCGGCCCCTTTTTCAGATTTTCTATAGTGCGGTACTTACCATTTTTTGATGTATATATTTATATTCATGTGAATGTCACTTATAAACACCCAGTAGTTGGACTCCTATGTCCCTTACCTCATAGACTAGAATATTTAGTCTATTTACATGTAGTGTAATTACTTGGTATGTCCACCAATTTACGTTTTCTGTGTGCCAACCATTCTGTTTCCTTTCTCATGTCTTTGTATTTTGCTAGAGTATCTTTTTCTCATTTTCACCACTATTCATTTGTATGAGGTGTGATTAACAAATATAGTGAATGTTTAAATTAAAAATTTGTTACAGTAAATAACACATTGCCATTAATCCCCCTCAAAATATTCCCCTCACATTGAAAATACTTATCCCATCATTCTTTCCACTTTCTGAAGCAATGCTAGAAGTTCTTTTTCCTAAGTGTTTTTAGTTACTCTGTCTTGATGTCCTGAATCAATTCAAAACGTTTACCTTTCATGATCATCTTTACCTCAGGAAAGAGCCAGAATTCACTTGAGCCAGATGGGTGAAAAAGGTGGATGAGGGCACACTGTAATGTTTTTACATTTCATTGCATGGCAGTTGACAGCGTCATTCAGTGTAGTTTTGATCATAAAGATATGAAAGAGGACTTCTCGAAGTGCTTCAGAAAGTGGCAAGAATTCGGTGGGATGGGCATGTTCAAAACAAACAGGAGAATGTTTTAAGGGGTATTAATGTGTCTCTTGCTGTAAAAAATGTAATCATTCACTGTCTATTTGGATCATGCCGCATATACACTTTGCATCTGCTAACTCACAGTATGCATAGCTTTTCAGATCTAAATTTAATCCATTATACTGGCTTCTTCCACGATTATATAGGACCATAAGACCTTTCAATTCTGTGGGTCAACTCTGACCACATTATGTGCTGATTTTAATTTTAGTTTAAAATTTAAAATGGGATTCAAATTTTGCTTGTCTGAATATGCATGTCTTGCCTTTATTCCTGAATAAATTTTCATTGTGTGTAAAATATTAGGTTGACTTTTTTCAATCAGTATGTCAAATTATTTTTCTTATTCTTTTTTATTCTTGCTGATGGAAATTTAGCTGTCAAACAATCGCTCTGAAATTATTTCTCACCTCTCTGAATAAACCTCTGTAAGAGGTTTTCAATGCATCTTTGGTGATTTTTCACTTATTATAATTTAAATATGATCTTTGTGCTATTTTTCTTGGCATTTGTAGGGAATCTTGAATATATACTACTTTCATCCATTCTGGAAAGTTCTCACCCATTATCTCCTCAAATATAGTATTGATTCTGGCTCATTCATCCTTCTCCTTCTTGAACATTATATACATAATACTAGAGATAGAAAAATATGGTGCGTATTTAAATTTTTAAAAATTATCACAAAGATGAATTGCCATTAGTCCTCTCAAAATACTACTGCCCCAACACACTTATCCCACCACTCTTGCCACTTTCTGAAGCAGTTCTGGAAGTCCTCTCTTGTGAGTGTCTTTAGTTGTGCCATCATGGCTGCCTTGATGTTCTGAATCACTTCCTTTCCTGGTAATTTTGACTTTTAGAAGAGTCTGCAGTCACAGCGTGCCAGATCCGGTGAATAAGGTGGATGAGGACACACCGTAATGTTTTCACAAGCCTGCCTTTCCTTTGGCTGGCACTTGGCAGCAGCATTCACCTTATTTTTTATCATACTTCATGAAGTCCTTATGAAAGAGGGCTTCCAGAACTGCTTCAGAAAGTGGCAAGAATGATGGAATGAGTGTTTGAAGCAAAGGGGAAGATTCTGAGATCCATGGCAATGTGTCTTTTACTTTTAAATAAAAAAAATTAAATGTTAACTGCTTTTTTTGATTATCCCTTATATTCCCTCTCATTCTCTACTCCATGTACATTAACCACTCTGGCCTATTTTCCATTTTCTTCCTCTATTTGCATACTGTTCAGTCTTACTGCTTTCACAACTACCTCTTCACC